CCCGAATTTATTGAGAGTTTTTAGCATGAAGGGCTGTTGAATTTTGTCAAAGGCCTTTTCTGCATCTATTGAGATAATCGTGTGGTTTTTGTCTTTGGTACTGTTTATATGCTGGATTATGTTTATTGCTTTGCATATGTTGTGTTGCATCCCAGGGATGAAGCCCACTTGATCATGGTGGATAAGCTTTTTGATGTGCTGCTGGATTCGGTTTGCCAGTATTTTATTGAGGATTTTTGCATTGATGTTCATCAGGGATATTGGTCTAAAATTCTCTGTTTTTGTTGTATCTCTGTCAGGCTTTGGTATCATGATGATGTTGGCCTCGTAAAATGAGTTAGGGAGGATTCCCTCTTTTTCTCTTGATTGGAATAGTTTCAGAAGGAATGGTACCAACTCCTCCTTGTACCTCCGGTAGAATTCGGCTGTGAATCCGTCTGGTCCTGGACTTTTTTTGGTCAGTAGGCTATTAATTATTGCCTCAATTTCAGAGCCTGCTATTGGTCTATTCAGGGATTCAACTTCTTCCTGGTTTAGTCTTGGGAGAGTGTAAGTGTCCAGGAAATTATCCATCTCTTCTAGGTTTTCTAGTTTATTTGCGTACAGGTGTTTATAGTATTCTCTGATGGTAGTTTGTATTTCTGTGGGGTCGGTGGTGATATCCCCTTTATCATTTTTTTATTGCATCTATTTGATTCTTCTCTCTTTTCTTCTTTATTAGTCTTGCTAGTGGTCTATCAATTTTGTTGATCTTTTCAAAAAACCAGCTCCTGGATTCGTTGATTTTTTTGGAGGGTTTTTGTGTCTCTATCTCCTTCAGCTCTGCTCTGATCTTAGTTATTTCTTGCCTTCTGCTAGCTTTTGAATGTGTTTGCTCTTGCTTCTCCAGTTCTTTTAATTGTGATGTTAGGGTGTCAATTTTAGATCTTTCCTGCTTTTTCTTGTGGGCATTTAGTGCTATACATTTCCCTCTACACACTGCTTTAAATGTGTCCCAGAGATTCTGGTATGTTGTGTCTTTGTTCTCATTGGTTTCAAAGAACATCTTTATTTCTGCCTTCATTGCGTTTTATACCCAGTAGTCATTCAGGAGCAGGTTGTTCGTCATTCAGGAGCAGGTTGTTCAGCGGTTTTGATTGAGTTTCTTAGTCCTGAGTTCTAGTTTAATTGCACTGTGGTCTGAGAGAGAGTTTGTTATAATTTCTGTTCTTGTACATTTGCTGAGGAGTGCTTTACTTCCAACTATGTGGTCTATTTTGGAATAAGTGTGATGTGGTGCTGAGAAGAATGCATATTCTGTTGATTTGGGGTGGAGAGTTCTGTAGATGTCTATTAGGTCCGCTTGGTGCAGAGTTGAGTTCAATTCCTGGATATCCTTGTTAACTTTCTGTCTCGTTGATCTGTCTAATGTTGACAGTGGGGTGTTAAAGTCTCCCATTATTATTGTATGGGAGTCTCTCTTTGTAAGTCTCTAAGGACTTGCTTTATGAATCTGGGTGCTCCTGTATTGGTTGCATATATATTTAGGATAATTAGCTCTTCCTGATGAATTGATCCCTTTACCATTATGTAATGGCCTTCTTTGTCTCTTTTGATCTTTGATGGTTTAAAGTCTGTTTTATCAGAGACTAGGATTGCAACCCCTGCTTTTTTTTGTTCTCCATTTGCTTGGTAGATCTTCTTCCATCCCTTTATTTTGAGCCTTTGTGTGTCTCTGCATGTGAGATGGGTCTCCTGAATACAGCAGACTGGTGGGTCTTGACTCTTTATCCAATTTGCCAGTCTGTGTCTTTTAATTGGACTATTTAGTCCATTTACATTTAAGGTTAATATTGTTATGTGTGAACTTGATCCTGTCATTATGATATTAGCTGGTTGTTTTGCTTGCTAGTTGATGCAGTTTCTTCCTAGCATCATTGGACTTTACATTTTGACATGTTTTTGCAATGGCTGGTACCTGTTGTTCCTTTCCGTGTTTAGTGCTTCCTTCAGGATCTCTTGTAGGGCAGGCCTGGTGGTGACAAAATCTCTAAGCATTTGCTTATCTGTAAAGGATTTTATTTCTCCTTCACCTATGAAACCTAATTTGGCTGGATATGAAATTCTGGGTTGAAAATTCTTTTAAGAATGTTGAATATTGGCCCCCACTCTCTTCTGGCTTGGAGAGTTTCTGTGGAGAGATCTGCTGTTAGTCTGATGGGCTTCCCTTTGTGTGTAACCCGACCCTTCTCTTTGGCTGCCCTTAACATTTTTTCCTTCATTTCAACTTTGGTGAATCTGACAATTATGTGTCTTGGAGCTGCTCTTCTCGAGGAGTATCTTTGTGGCATTCTCTGTATTTCCTGAATTTGAATGTTGGCCTGCCTTACCAGGTTGGGGAAGTTCTCCTGGATGATATCCTGCAGAGTGTTTTCCAACTTGATTCCATTTTCCCCGTCACTTTCAGGCACACCAATCAGATGTAGATTTGGTCTTTTCACATAATCCCATACTTCTTGGAGGCTTTGTTCATTTCTTTTTACGCTTTTTTCTCCACACTTCTCTTCTCGCTTCATTTCATTCATTTGATCTTCAATCGCTGATACAATTTCTTCTAGTTGATCGAGTCGGTTACTGAAGCTTGTGCATTTGTCACACATTTCTTGTGTTATGGTTTTCATCTCTATCAGTTCTTTTAAGGTCTTCTCTGCATTGATTATTCTAGTTATCCATTCATCCATTCTTTTTTCAAGGTTTTTAGTTTCTTTGCGCTGGTTACGTAGTTCCTCCTTTAGCTCTGAGAAGTTTGATCGACTGAAGCCTTCTTCTCTCAACTCATCAAAGTCATTCTCCGTCCAGCTTTGTTCCTCTGCTGGCGATGAGCTGTGTTCCTTTGGAGGGGGAGATGCGCTCTGATTTTTTGAATATCCAGCTTTTCTGCACTGCTTTTTCCCCATCTTTGTGGTTTTATCTGCCTTTGGTCTTTGATGATGGTGACGTACTGATGGGGTTTTGGTGTGGGTGTCCTTTCTGTTTGTTAGTTTTCCTTCTAACAGTCAGGACCCTCAGCTGTAGGTCTGTTGGAGTTTGCTTGAGGTCTACTCCAGATGCTGTTTGCTGGGTATCAGCAGCAGAGGCTGCAGAAGATAGAATATTGCTGCACAGCGAGTGTTGCTGTCTGATTCTTGCTCTGGAAGCTTCATCTCAGGGGTGTACACTGCCGTGTGAGATGTGAGATGTCGGTCTGCACCTCAGTTGAAAATGCAGAAATCACCCGTCTTCTGTGTCACTCACGCTGGGAGCTGGAGTCTGGAGCTGTTCCTATTCGGCCATCTTGGGCACGCCCCCGCATTTGTTATTTTTAAGCAAATCATTTTAAGGAGTCTACAGAGAATGGGGCTGAAAGATGTGGGAAGAATAGGTAGAAGAGGAGTGTGGGCAGGATAGAGAACAGAAGACGTTGAGGTAGGGACGGAGGATTATGTTCTGAGTTGTGATTAGAGGTGCTGGAACTTTGATGTATGATGAGTTTATTTGAATGCTCGTGTCTCACTGCCCACTAGCCAAAGACCAACAGGGACACAAGTTGGGTTGTTACTCCTGGCAGTGAGGAGCAACATGCTGAGTGAGGAGTAGCATGCTGACCCTGGAGAACCCAGAGGTATGCTCAGTAAGAGGGCTTTAGAAATGACTTCTTATAGGAGTTGGGCTTGTATTGGGTCATATTGGAGAGCATTTAAGGTAGTAGAGCTTTGCAGTGGGTTAGATGCTCTCAGGAAGCAGAAGTAATTCTCTGATTGGGTGTCTTAATAATGCTTTCCTAGAAGTTGAGTACAGTTGTGAGACTAAACCTAATTGGTAAGGCACAGTCACTGTTACCAACTATTGTAGGGTGTATCATGGACAGTGTTCATGTTTTGTGTATGTTTAGCTGATTACAGAGTTGTCTTGATCGATCCATCATGGCACAGAATGGGCTTGTGTAGATATTGATGTTTTGTGAAATTGTTTCTGTTCCACAGGACCCCAGGACCTAATATTGTGACAGGCCAGCTCCTGGATGCCATTCTCACTAGGTTCCATGTGGGCATATGGATATAGTTATAGTGGATTTTGCCTTACCCTGTACATATAGAGGAGTCAGCTATATACTTGCTTGTAGTTGTTCAGTGTCCAAACGGTTCTACCTAGAGCACAGATAGGAGTTGATTTTAGAATTATATACAGATCATTTCTTGAAGGACTTTTAGCTATAAACATTTATCATAAGTGGTATAGACTAATGTTGTCTGATAGTTTGATGCATGAACATCCTGCCTCAACATCTATTTATACACACAGAGAAATAAAAGAACATGTTACCATTTCTAAAGTATGCACATAAATGGGGAAAAGAAAGTAGAATTGTTTGATTTACTTTTTTTTTTTTTTTTTTTGAGATAAGGTCTTGCTGTGTCACCCAGGCTGGAGTGCAGTAGCACGATCATAGCTCACCGCAGCCTTGAACTCCAGGGCTCAAGCCATCCTCCCACCTCAGCCTCCCAAGTAGCTGGGACTACAGGTGTGCGCCATTGAACCTGGCTATTTTTATTTTTTGTAGAGTTAGAGTTTTTGCTTTTTGCCCAGGCTGATCTTGAACTCCTGGGCTCAAGTGATCTTTTCGCCTCAGCCTTCCAAAGTATCAGGATTACAGGTGTGAGCCACTGCGCCTAACCTGCTTTAGTCTTTAGTAATACTTCAAATTTGTATTGATCACTTTGAGGCATTGTGGAATTCTGAATTATCTTCTGAATAAGCAAAGGAAAATTCTGCAAGTTCCCTGTTTCCCGTTGGTCCTCAGAGGCACTCTCCTGAAGACAAGTCTTTTTACTTCTTTGGGCCTTGTTCTCATTTTTCATAAGAAAAGCCTCAGTTAAATGAATCTCTGCTGTTCCAACTAGATGGAAAAGCCTCGTACTTTGTGGTTAAACACATTGAAATAAAGAACTTGGGAATAAAAATCTTTTTTTCTCTTATCTCAGAATTATTTGTCAAAGAGAATCACGAATTAAGAATAGCAGGAGGAGCAGTGAGGGATTTGTTAAATGGAGTAAAGCCTCAGGATGTAGATTTTGCCACTACTGCTACCCCTACTCAAATGAAGGAGATGTTTCAGTCGGCTGGGATTCGGATGATAAACAACAAAGGAGAAAAGCACGGAACAATTACTGCCAGGGTGAGTCAAAAGTTTGACAGTTAATTACATTGCTTTTTTGGTAATTTGTAAAAACTTAATAATTTTCTCTAGTTAAGAGCAAATAACGAAAAGTCAGTCTCTTCTACCCCTGTCTGAAACCCTGCAGTCCTCTGTTCTTGCAGTCATGTTTAAGTTTTATGTTATTTCTCCATTTCTAAAAAGACCTTTGTATACTATGGTGTTTACTTTTTAGTTTTTACTATCGCAGTTTTAAGATGTGTTATGTATTGACTTTCCATGAGGGAAGATGATTTAGCTTTCTTACCACACCCTTCTCAACAACAAGCACATGTAATTCTCCTACTTCTATCTTCCTAGTATATTTATATCATAATTTTTGGTTAAGTCAATATTCAGGGTTCACGTTTACGACTCTGTATTGTTTACAGCCAGATTGTGGAGTGTATTGTGATTACATTTCTTCTATTGGCATGGTTTTTAATTTTCCTGCAGTTAATAGCATTTTTCTTTTACATAGCTTTCCATGTACCACTAATTTATTCCTGCACTCTGCCAGAACTGTAGAGTTCCTCTCAAAAGATTTAAACACATTACATCAAGTTTCGGTTGCGTTTTTGAGAAACATCTTACCTGGTGCTGTCTTCCTGCTCCAATATGGACTTTTAGGAATTTCCTTGGCCTATTTTGTTAGATCTCCTGTTTCCTGGGTCCCATGTGCTGTTCTCTCTTGGCTTAAGCCCTCATTTTAATAATCCAATACCTGAGGAAGCCTTACACGTCTGAAAATGTGTTTATTTTACCTCCACACTGGTTTGATAGTTATGGTTATAGAATTCTAGACTGGGAATAATTTTTACTCGGAAATTTAAAGGTATTGTTTTCTAGCTTCCAGTACTGCCACTAAGTCTAGTTCCATTTAGATTTCTCTTTTGTTTAAAAACCTGACTGCCATTATTTCCTTTTGGAAGTCTTTCTGATCTTTTATGTCTAATGTTTTTAATTTCAAGATGATATAACTTGTTTTGGATAATTTTCACTTATTGTGCATGCCACTTAGTGGGCCTTCTTATGTTTCTTTCATAATTTCATCCCTTTTGTTAAATGTTTTTTCCTTTGGAAACTCCTATTATTTGGATGCTGGATTGCTGGGACTGACCTTCTAGTTTTATGTTTTGTCTTTATTTTACATTCTCCTGTCTTTTACTTTCTATGAGAGTGCCTTAACTTCGTCTCCCAGTCATTGTATAATACTAGCAAGTTCTGTGGTCTTGTAGAATTTCAAGAGGTCGGTCTTAGTATATTTCTTTGGAAAGCTTCCCGTTCATGTTTCAGATGCAAGATCTTTTATTTCTCTTAGGATATCTACTATAGTCATTTTGACAATGTCTTTGTTTCTTCTGAGTTTTTTCTTTCATGTTGGCTTTCTTTAAATATGGGTATTCTTTGGCTCTGCCTTTATATTTGGGTGATGCTGTATACTTGAGGGCTTTATTGTAGTTTTGCATGGGAAGTGTCAGCCAGTTGGGACTCCCAGTGTAAGTCTCAGTAGGAGTTTTCGTTAGGAGAAATCAGAGAAGAATACTCCAGTATTATGCCAGGGAATGAGCCTGATTGTTAGCATCTTGAAACCAAGTAGGGAAAGGGATGAGGGTCATGTTAATTTTCACTTTAATTTTGTTTTCATTATGATGCTTCATTCCTATGAGCATCTGTGCCTGGTGAAACAAGTTCTGATTATTTTTGGTTCAACCTTTCTAGAGGGTCAATCCCTGGTTTTCGGCCTCGTTAAGGGAGTCATTCTAGGTGGGTCTGATTATTTCTTAAAATGAGTTTGAAACAGTTTTCCTATTTCAAACCTTACCGTATTCTTTGCCTTCAGAGATACGTGTGCCTCAAATTCTTGAGTTCTGGAATTCTATAGTGAGAGATAGATGTAGCTTGTATCTAGAGAAGAGTATGTATGAAATTGAGAGAAATCTTACAACAGACTTCTGGTGATCATGAATGGCTTTCACTTCCTAAATGAAGACATTCTTAACTCTTGGCACATAAAACACTTTATTCTCTACTCCTAAATGCTAATATGCTGTCAAATATACTTTCTCTTTTACATGTATTCCTCTTTCTCCACCTTGCCTTTGGTCATCTTTTCTCTTCATTTGAAATTTTCCTGCCACACCTGCATGTACAAACCCTGCTGCTTTTTCAAGGCTTGGCACAGATGCCACCCTATCACGAAGTTACACAGCTTCCCCAGCTGGAGGTAGTCTGTCTTCCTATGATAGAGGTAACTCTTTATTTTAATTTATTTCTTTCTCTTTTGAGACAGGGCCTCACTCTGTTGTGCAGGCTGGAGTGCACAGTGTGATCTCGGCTCACTGCAGCCTTTGCCTCCCGGGCTCTAGCGATCCTTCCACCTTAGCCTCCCAGGTAGCTAGGACCACAGGCATGCACCACAACACCTGGCTGTTTTTCTTTGTATGTTTGGTAGAGACGGGGTTTCACCATCTTGTCCAGGCTGGTCTTGAACTCCTGAGCTCAAGTCATCCACTTGCCTTGGCCTCCAAAATCCTGGGATTACAGGCATGAGCCACCACCCCAGCCTTTATTTTAATTTCCCTGGGAATTATCAGTAAGGGAGTTACAGGATCTGTTAACTGTACTTACTGTTTATCAGTCTTTTGCTCAATGGCATATGTTCCATAAATTGACATTCACCTCTTTGCAAACAGGAGCTATTAAAAGTATTTCAGATAACAGCTTGATTTGAAATTGAAGAACATTTTTGAGGGTTTCTCCACATCACCTGGCAGAGGTGACATGTTTGTAAGTTAAACTCATCTTTTTTAATCATGATGGATATTTAAAAAAAAAATCAGTCTTTGGATCTGTTTTTGAATGACGTGGATATCTTTCTGTTTCAATGTTTAGATATGGTAGTTGATGTTAAAAAGATTATAACTGTCAGGGCTTATAGTACCATCTCTTTATAAAGACAAAAACTTATTTTTTTTCAATTCAGTAGTATGGAAACCGAATTTAAATGACAACAAAAACCCCATGTATTTAATTGCAGCTTCATGAAGAAAATTTTGAGATTACTACACTACGGATTGATGTCACCACTGATGGAAGACATGCTGAGGTAGAATTTACAACTGACTGGCAGAAAGATGCGGAACGCAGAGATCTCACTATAAATTCTATGTTTTTAGGTAATACTTGCAGATAAAACCATATTTTGAGTCTATCAGAATGCCTTCTTTTCAAGTAAAACCTACATTCTGGAAACGTTATTCAACTTCAGAATTCGCGTTAATTTCTTCTAAGAGATGGTTTAGCAGATTGCTTAAAAGAATAGACTCTGGGCCAGGTGCGGTGGCTCAACGCCTGTAATCCCAGCACTTTGGGAGGCTGAGGCGGGCATATTATGAGGTCAGGAGATTGAGACCATCCTGGTTAACATGGTGAAACCCCGTCTCTACTAAAACTACAAAAAATTAGCCGGGCGTGGTGGCGGGAGCCTGTAGTGCCAGCTACTCGGGAGGCTGAGGCAGGAGAATAGCGTGAACCCGGGAGGTGGAGCTTGCAGTGATCCGAGATCACACCACTGCATTCCAGCCTGGGTGATAGAGCGAGACTCCGTCTCAAAAAAAAAAAAAAAAAAAAAAAAAAAGAATAGACTCTGGAGCCAAAATCCTTGGGGTCAGATTCTGACTCCATCACTCACTAGCCACAAAACAAAAACGTTCATTAATATTGGCTTCCTTTGTACAGCCGTTGTGAGGTTTAAGAGTTAATAATTATAAATGCTCAGAACAGTGCCTGACACATGTACACATTCAGTCAGTGCTAACTTCTTAACTGCATCTGAACAACATTAACATTTCAGGGAAGGAAAATGCACACACGGTATATGTACACACTCCACACACACACCCAGGATCATTCTTTTTCCTTTGCACTACCTTTCATGCATGTGTATTCACTCTTTCTTCTGCTTCCCTGGCAAACAATGGTGAATGACTTCAGCACCTTTTTTTACTGCTGAGCCTACACACAACCTCAGATTCTTTTTTAGCATTGTTTTCTAGCAGTCATCAGTAATCAGAGTCAGTATGTAAGATGAAACCTATTTACTTCAGCTTAACTTTTATGTTTAATGAAAGCACTGGGAATTATATAGGGGGTAGATATGAATTAGGTTAGTGTTTTGCTACGTTACTGATGCATCATATGTTGTACTTTAAAGTTAAGACAAGCCCTTTATGTTTAAGATTTTGGATTAAAAAAGGATGAAACATCTGCTATTCATAACGTAGTTTGTAGCAACAATAGTGGTAAAAGGATGAAGTAATAGGATTTGCTTCATGCATGGATGGGCAAGAAGTTTATAAGCTAAGGTGGGATCTCTTGCTGATTACAGTAATGGCAGATACAATTTCTAGGGTACCTACTGGGTTCTAGGTACAACACTGGGTACCTGATATACTTTATTTCATTAAACTCGCAGAAAAACTTCATAAAGTATGTTAAGCCCACTTGATAGAAGAGGAAACTTGAGACTGAGAGATACTAAGTAACTTAGTTTAAGTCATAGAGAACCATTATTTTGGCTTGTTTGCAAAGCCTAGGCAATATATGACCATAGAGAGCCCAATTGGTGCGTTTTCTCTCAATTAATATAGTCAGAGCTCCAGGTATTTATTTATTCTCATATTTACTCATAGAAGAAACTGCTCCAAGTAGTGCAATATAGAGAGTCTTGTCTAACTGACTTCTCATAAGCATACTGAGAGAAACCAACATTCTTTTTCAGTGTCCTAGTTTATAAAATAAAAGCTGTTCTTATTGGAACTATCATTTTCTGACATTTACTGAACCCTTATAACGTACCAGGCACTGTTCTAAGCACGTTATATACAATCTCCTGACAACCCTGCAAAGCAGATACTGCTATTTAACCGATGGTAACTTGCCCAAAGTTGCACAGCTTGTAAAGTGTAGGATTGGAATTCCAACTCAGGCAGCCTGACTCCAGAGGTCACATTCTTAACCACTACATTATTCCCTGCAACTCAGCTGTATTTCGTATTTTTATTTACTGTATTTTAAAAGGATGATACTCAGAGCAAAACAAAATACACACCAATATGATGCTTACTAAGCTTTGTGTAGTTTTCTATCCTGGCTTTTTCCAAGCCTTATTGGATCAAGCATTCATAGTTCTGGCATTTATGGTTGGTTATTTTGCTTTCCAAACCCTTATTTTTGCTTTGATCATATTCCTGTGATTTTTTTTCCTCCAAATTTTGATCTTACCTTTAGGTTCCCCAGGGAGAGTTACAAGTCTCTTCATTAGGAGAAATAACACTGAGATGGATATACCATATTTGCTACTTTGTTATCATATTTTTGTCTGTTTATTTACGTATTTTTTTTAATCTTCATTTTCTTTTATGTCTTTTTGAATCTGGAGCCTTCGAAATTTGCCATATACGTCAAGATGGTTCCCTTTTAAAAGTTACTATATGCATATAAAACTTTTAACAGCTTGGGAAGACTTAAGCATTAAGTGTGAACTTACCAATATACTGTTGCTTTTGGGATAATCAAAGAGCATTCAAGTTCAAACACAACCAAGAGGTATTTTTGACAAGTAGTTGTCAGTGCCTCTTTTCTGTAATGCTACAGAGTGAAGTATCTCATAGGATCACTGACCTCCCCATTTGGTTAGCTGAATGGTGTCTGTGTTTCGGCTCTCAATTCCTTTTTCTTTTTCTTAAGTCTCCATGGTAACCAACTGTCTTAGTTTGTCTGAGTTTGAAATATTTCCTTGGATGTGTGATTTTCAGCTGTAAAACTAGGAAAGTCTCAGGCAAACCAGTATGAAGTGGTCACTCTACTAATTAATACTTAAGGTTTTATGTACATATATATAAAATTATTTTATGTTGCTTTTTCTTTTTTGGTTTGACATATGAATTTGTTTATTACCATTTTTGTGAATGGCTAATAGATTAACATGGTTCAAAATTCACAAAGTTTTAAAGGCTCTGTAGTGAAGTCTCCTGATCTGTAACGAACAGGACTGCCCATGTTTACCACACCCTTGCCAACACTGTTATCAAATGTTTGCATCATTGCCGATCTGAAAAATGCTATCTCAAAAATGTGTGTTTACTGGCCGGGCATGGTGGCTTATGCCTGTAACCCTAGCACTTTGGGAGGCTGAGGCAGGCGGATCACTTGATGTCAGGAGTTCGAGACCAGCCTGGCCCATATGCCAAAACCTTGTCTCTACTAAAAATACAAAAATTAGCTGTGCGTAGTGGCAGGTCTACTTGGGAGGCTGAAGCAGGAGAATCACCTGAACCTGGGAGGCTGCAGTGAGCTGAGATTGCACCAACTGCACTGCAGCCAGGGTGACAAAGTGAGAATCTGCCTCAAAGAACAAAAAATGGATTTATGACTAAGGTTGAAAATCTTCATTATTAAAGAGATTTCTACATTTCCTTTATATGTAGCCTATTTTTCTATTTATGTGGCCTTATTTAGAATAATTTTTATATATTACGGAAATTAGCCATGTTTTTTAATATGGGCTTACATGTATTTTTCCAAAGATGTCACTTATGACTTTCTGTGTGACAGTAGTTTCTGCCATACAGGCATTTTTGATTGTTTATGTCATTCAATTATTTCTTCGAAAATCCTTTTGTTTTGTGTTTTGTTTTGTTTTCTTGCTAAGTAGAGTTTGAAAAGATCTTCCCCATTCCAAGATTATGAAATATTTTTGTTTCTTCTGTTAATCCTGTTATGTATTTTTCCCATTTTATTTTGGCTATTGTTTATTTTCCCATATTGTGAAAATTAGCTTGTATGGTGTCTTGTTGGCTCCACTCCACCTCATACAAATTTTGCATATTTCTTGTTTAGGTTATTCTTGAATTACCTTTTTAGTTGCAATTCTAAATGCAACTAAACAGACTAAAAGACTGTCTTTTATTGTCTTCCATTTGATAGCTGATATATATGAATACCTGTGTTTTAATAACTCTTCATCCTGCTGAATTTTTACTGTTTGTGATAGTGCTTAGCTGATTTTCTTGTGTTTTCAAATTCTTATTTGCCAACAGTGATTTTTCTCTCTTCTAACGAATAGGTTTTGATGGCACTTTATTTGACTACTTTAATGGTTATGAAGATTTAAAAAATAAGAAAGTTAGATTTGTTGGACATGCTAAACAGAGAATACAAGAAGATTATCTTAGAATTTTAAGATACTTCAGGTAAGAATTTTTAAAAATAAAAAGTGATAGTTTTAATATAATCACTAGAGCGTAACACTAGTCATATGAAACCTACAGCAGGTCAGTGTACAAAATGGTGACATCCCAGATGTCTGTCTCCAGTGGAGACCTGGCATCCTATGCCTTATGAGTGAAAATTACTTAGCTACTTCATATTGTATTTTCATTCCCAGAATGCACATATACTTTTTGTGATCTTTCCTGTAATTCTGGTTTAAGTCATTTTTTTAAATGCCCATTTTTCTTTTTGATTGATATTTCCTTCATTGATCCATTAGTTACACAGATGTTTGAATGCTTACCACAGGTCAATCCCTGTGTTAGGTGTATTAAACATGGTAATGAATGAGTGGAAGTGTTCGCCTTCATACAGCTTATGGTTTTAGGTGGTCGTGGAAATCAGGTGATAGTTCACAACAAAATGATTTTGCTGAAAAGAAATACCTGTTATATGATTAAAACTATCAAAGTATAAAGACATACTCAAAACTCGGATGGGCCGGGTACGGTGACTCACGCCTGTAATCCCAGCACTTTGGGAGGCTGAGGCAGGTTGATCATGAGATCAGGAGATTGAGACCATCCTGGCTAACACGGTGAAAACCAGTCTCTACTAAAAATACAAAAAAATAGCCAGGCATGGTGGCAGGCACCTGTAGTCCCAGCTACTCGGGAGGCTGAGGCAGGAGAATGGCATGAACCCGGGAGGTGGAGCTTGCAGTGAGCTGAGATCGCGCCACTGCACTCCAGCCTGGGCGACAGCAAGACTCCATCTCAAAAAAAAAAAAGAAAAACTTGGATAAAGTTGGTAAATATGAAATGCACGACTAGTTTTGTGAGTAGCAGTGATTTTTAAATGTCACACACTAACCTTTTTTAAAAACTATCCGAATTGGCTAGTTGATGTCAAGTAATACTCATTTTTCACTGGTTGGGACTGCTCTCAGAATATTCTATAACAGATCATATTTTGTCAATAAATGTAGTTTTTTTTTAACTTGAGTATCTGTAGTCTCTCTTACAAATAATAGGACATAGATGAAGACTTAGCTGTATTTGGATCACTAATCCAAATTTAGCATTAATTTACTTATTTAGCATTAACTTTGGACCACTGATGAATAGAGGGTGTTCATTAGAATTTTAAGGATATGAGTGGTAAAACACATGTACGTTAGGGCTTCCAGTGCCAAGATTCCGTGAAATATACTCCAGGGTGTGCAACTAGTCATATTTGAAGGTTTTCATTGAAAGTATTAATGTGTACAGACAGGCAAGTTTTGAGGAATTAAGACTACTCTGTTAAGGTACTGCAGTCTTGTTTTGGTTTGCTCCCTTTACAAGAATGCTATTTTTTTTCATCTACTGCAAGTGCCAGTTCAGAAATTGCATTTCATGACCATTCTGAACGTCTTAAGTCAATGATTTGGAAGTGAGGTTGAGACCTTGAGGTTCTAGTTCTTGCTAACCTCAGAAAGGCTACTTATACTTTATTAGATGTAGGGTTTTCTTATCTGGGAAAAGAAAGAGGAGGTGGAGAAATGACCAGTTGCTTTCTACTAAAATACCAGTAGATGTATGGGATAGTATCAATAAAAATGAAAAACAGATTTTTCTTGTGACATGCCAATATAGAGGTAATACCCTGTGAAGATTTTGTCTTGTAGGTTTTATGGGAGAATTGTAGACAAACCTGGTGACCACGATGCTGAGACTTTGGAAGCAATTGCAGAAAATGCAAAAGGCTTGGCTGGAATATCAGGAGAGAGGATTTGGGTGGAACTGAAAAAAATTCTTGTTGGTAACCATGTAAATCATTTGATTCACCTTATCTATGATCTTGATGTGGCTCCTTATATAGGTGAGAGCAAGTTATAAAGTATTTGAATTTTTGGCACCGAAATATCTGGTTTCAAATTTCATAAGGAAAAAATGTTTGACTCATTTGGTTGAATTCTTGATGAAGAAATCGAGTTCTTTAAAATAAGACAAAGTTTTGGTTATGGGGTGGGTACATTTTGTCGTGAGTAGGGAACAGCTCAAAGACAGCCTGTGATGCTTGTAGAGTAGTCTCGAGTCAGATCTAGGTTTGAAGGAAGCTCAGCCCCTTATCTAGTCTTTGCAACTTGGGTTAGTTTCTAACCCAAAAAAGGGGTTTAAAAGTAATATACCGTCTGTCTAAAAGAAAAGCTAAATGATTCAGTGAGTTAATACATGTAAAGCTCTTTTAGAAGAGTAACTTGTACACAGAAATTGTTCAGTAAATGTAATTCATTTTCACAAAGAACAGTGGGATTATATGGTTTATCACACTTCTGGAAGCTTGGGTATATTATTTCAAATTTCAGTAACATTATTGAATGGGGGGTGGATGTTGTATCAGTGGAAAGTCAGGAATTTGTGATTAGAAAGAATATGCCTTGTGAGTCTGACACTACCATCACCACTACCTCTGGACCTCTTGATGTAGCTTGTTAATGGAAACAACATTTTAGAGGTTTTGAAGGTGATAGGGGAGAGAATAACAATAATATATTAGTGGTTTGCCTGTAAGTTGGAACATCAGACTGAACCTATATGATGTATCCTAGTGACAAAGCATTTCTGTATACTAAAACAGTGGCAAGGTTTAGGATATGAGTGGTTTTCTTCCCCCACTAAAAACAGGTGAAAAATGCTTTTATCCCTACAGGTTTACCTGCTAATGCAAGTCTAGAAGAATTTGACAAAGTCAGTAAAAATGTTGAAGGTTTTTCACCAAAGCCAATGACTCTTTTGGCCTCATTATTCAAAGTACAAGATGATGTCACAAAATTGGATTTGAGGTTGAAGATCGCAAAAGAAGAGAAAAACCTTGGCTTATTTATAGTTAAAAATAGGAAAGATTTAATTAAAGCAACAGATAGTTCAGACCCATTGAAACCCTATCAAGACTTCATTATAGATGTAAGTATATACTCGGCTTGGTCAGAAATATGAAGTATTGTCACTAATTTATAATTTATCAAAACTAAGATCTACAATTCTGTGAACTTTACTTATTTTAAAGGAAAAAATTTGAGTAAATTTTAGGATAAGATCGTAAGTGTATGTTTTCATGTGTGATGAAACTAAATTTTGATTTTGACATGTAGTCTAGGGAACCTGATGCAACTACTCGTGTATGTGAACTACTGAAGTACCAAGGAGAGCACTGTCTCCTAAAGGAAATGCAGCAGTGGTCCATTCCTCCATTTCCTGTAAGTGGCCATGACATCAGAAAAGTGGGCATTTCTTCAGGAAAAGAAATTGGGGCTCTATTACAACAGTTGCGAGAACAGTGGAAAAAAAGTGGTTACCAAATGGAAAAAGATGAACTTCTGAGTTACATAAAAAGACCTAAAACTGATGGCTACTAAAAAGCAGAGCATTTCTGGTAAGATTAATTTTCTCCCCTCTCTCTTAATGAGGTTTTAGAAACTACATCATAATAAAAGACAGTTTAGGGGACCTCTGTAGAACAACAAGGGTCTTATTTTGTGAAATATATTTCAAGAACTAAACTGAGATCCGATTTATATCACTGAAATGTACAGTTCTTTTGGAATAGTTTCCATAGTTGGCTATCATCTTAACCTGTTCAGGCTTTTTAAAAAAATTGTTTTTGCATAGGGTAGTACTAAGATCTTAAAAAGTAGTAACTGTCTTGAAGAAAAAATGTTTATTGTTTGCAATTGAAATAACTGGGTTACCTTGAACAATGACTGTCTATGATGTGTCAGTTCTTATCTGAATTCCAAAAGAAACTTGGGCTTAAAAAGGAAATAACTGACAGGTCTGCATAAAATATGAATACTAAATGTGTCCCCAGTTGCTGGCATTCATACGTACAGGATTTGTTCTAGCAAGTTATGCTTTAGTATGTGGTTGATATTTTCCTGTCACAATGATTTCTTTACGCTGCAGGGCCTGGGACAGTCATGGGATTAACTTGAGGGTTACTCTTGAGCCTATTATTTTAATAAAACATTGGTATTGGAAGATAAATGTGTTTATGTGGTATCTGACAATGTATATCAGGTGTCATATACAGTGGTAATATGGCTCTCTTTAAAGTAAATGTTATTTTATTAATTAAAAGGATATGGTTTACATTCTTACATATTTGTTCTCTAAAGATTTGAGTCCTAAATGCTTTCATTAGGTAAATAAAATGTATAACACAAACTGTTTATTTCAGCTGCTATACTGACATATCATTATTTCCTTTCTGTGTAGCCAGTCATAACATCTTTGTGCTCTATGAGCAAATAGTAATTTTGGACCTTGATAAAACAATTTTGTAGAGTATAATATTTCTAAGAGGAAGTGTCACAGGGGCTATGATGCAAGAAAGCCTCAGAAATGACTGCACACAGGTCAGTAATTAAATGCATTATAAAATAATACTTTGAAATATTTAAGTAGTGCCAAAATACAGATTTAGACCCAAAATCATATAATACATACCATTTCTGTATAGAAAGTATGCAGAGTTAGCTATCAGAGGTTTGGTTTTGTCATGTGTAAAGCCATTTTCAGTAGTATTATATGTGTGTTTTTACAGATCAGAAAATTTTATTTGCTAGTAAGCAGTATGGGACATACTGAAATTATAACTAACTTTTCAGGGGGAAAGGTAACTCATTGCAAATGCTGCTGAAAAGAACTTCCTGGGATCCACTTAGAGTCAGTTTTAGTGCAGTGTAAGAACTATTATGAACAACCAATGAAGTCATATAAACCCACAATTATTAAAAGTAGTAGGCCAGGCGCGGTGGCTCAATGCCTGTAATGCCAGCACTTTGGGAGGCCAAGGCGGGCGGATCACGAGGTCAGGAGATCGAGACCATCCTGGCTCTCACGGTGAAACCCCGTCTCTACTAAAAACAAAAAATTAGCCAGGCGTGGTGGTGGGCACCTGTAGTCCCAGCTACTCGGGAGGCTGAGGCAGGAGAATCACTTGAACCCAGGAGGCAGAGGTTGCAGTGAGCTGAGATCGTGCCACTGCACTCCAGCCTGGGCAACAGAGCAAGACTCTGTCTCAAAAGAAAAAGTAGTAAAGTAGAGCTTAGAAAAAATAAGGCAGGGGCATATCCTGAATAGAAGCATTCTTGAATTTTCATTTACTCTATTTACATAAATATGCAATGTGATACTCAACTGATTTCACTCCACTCAAGGCATGTCTTTTGGCCTCATAATATTACTCTAGTTTGAGTAAACATTTAACCTGATTAGTTTTAAAGTAGCAAAAGAGTATCAATAAAACCAAAGTTATTACACAAATGTGAAAGGACCCACTAAACCATTGAATATAAGCAAAGAGGTAGGTGGCAGAGCAGTCTTTTTAGAACTTTAAAATTATGAGTGATATATTATTTGAACAAAGAACATGTTTAGTTTCACATTTAAGGTTTACTTACAGATTTTCTTCAATCTTTACATTGAACAAAATACAGTATCACGTGTAGCCTGTGTGAGGGGACATGTTTTGGCAAATTTTCCCTGTAATAGTAGTTTTGGTTCAAATTAATTTTTGAAAAATAGCTTTTGTATGGAACAGTATAAATGGGCTTACAGTTCAAATACTGAGCAAATACACAATACTATTTTTTACTAACAGGCACATAAAGGAAATGACAACTATTCGTGGGCTCAAAAAACTGCATATTTTAACTAATTTTCAAAATTTACAAATCAGTATCTCAGAGAAGCTAAAGAAAATGGAAAGGAACAAAGCCCTTTTAGAATTATACATTGCCTTGCTTCTTTCAAAAAGGAACATGTACTTGTCACCCTAGCTTTTGTCACTTAGAGCACTGGTACAGATATGCTGTCCCATACATCAGGATCAAATAATTCGTTTCACATTGTAGGAATTTTTTTTTACGCAGGAAATAATCTCATTTCCAAACATGTCTTCATGTCCCATCAATGATATGCTGCCAGACATATCAGATTCCACAGGATAATGGTACCAAGCTACCCAAGTAGATGTTTCTAGTATTCTAGACTGCTGTTCATGCTCTCCAAAAGTATACTTAGAAACTGCAACCCTCCAAGTAATGTTGTGTTTACTTAGATATGTATCAGACGCAATAATTTCCAAAGCAGATCTGATTTTAGAATATAACCAATTTGTTAGATAACTTTATCTCTACCACATCTGTTTACAAGCAAAGTATTACTTTGTCTGGACTTATTTCATCTTCGGTGTCTGGGATCGTGGGCAACAGAGCAGATCGCGTTAAGCCCCAAAATTTTTGAGGTGACATGTCTTTTTTGGTGGCCGTAAACTTCCATCCAATATGGCTTGCACAGATCTTACACTGGGCAACAGTCCAGGCATACCTAAGAAAATAAGGAAAGATATCAGCTAAGGAAACACTTCTGTACTCCAAGCCTATCCTATCTATCATATCAACCTATCATGAAGACAGACCTTAGAATATCTCCTTAATCCTTAGGATTTGATCCATACAGTTCCCTGAAACCTAAAAACATTTTCTAATTTGGATACATCCTATGGTAATACATCAGTCTGTTATATATAATTTTATGCTCTTAAGCCATGTTCACATTCTTCTGCATAGAAATAAAGAGTAATCTTACAAATTTCTTTATACAAATTGCTGGTTGCCAAGACCACATTCTAACTTGTGTTGTATTGTAGCCAAGTTAGAAAACAGCAACCACCTGCAGAAATAGGCACTTCTGTCTGAGTTAAACTGGATGGGCCAGGAAGGACACGTCTCAAAAAATACTTGAAAACTACTATTCCAAAATAAGAATGATTGTCAGATAATGCAACCAGAAATACAAACCATGGCATTTTGTTTTTAAGATAAATCACATAATTGCAACTGTTATTTCTTTTTCCCCTAGGTATAGTATGCCACATTTACTATTTATAGTAACAAATGTATTCTAGTTTTAGTCCTCACATAGGGTGCCAAATAAGATAGATAGGGCAATCCAAGTGACATGGTCCTAACTCTAGAGTAGCATGTAATCCCTTCTTAGCATCCCTCTTTGAAAACTGAAGATAGTTGAAGATAGTACGGCTGAGGGAAGGGAGCAGGTTCCCAGGATCATACTTTTGAGAATCATTAAGCTGAAGCCAACAACAACAACAACGAAAGGCAAACCAGAAGAAAAGCAGGATTCAATGGGTTCTGCACCTTCTTAGTCTATCATTGCTTTGTAAACATTCTCCGGTTTTACATTACTACAGAATATGGTCCAGATATGAAGTTTTACTGGGTCATAAAACAGCTGATTTTCAGAATTATGTGACAGAAAAAAACAATTTTGGATTTAACTGGATACAGTAATTTGAGGACAACTGCAGTTGTCAACCTTTTCTTAACTTTTCATTCAATGATGCTATATAAAAGATACAAAAAGTGCAACATGTTTCTAGCTATTTGTGGAATGAAGGACATTTAAATAAAATTACTTTTTTTTTTGAGACAGATTCTCACTCTGTCGCCAGGCTGGAGTGCAGTGGCTCAGTCTTGGCTCACTACAACACTCTGCCTCCCAGGTTCCAGCGATTCTTGTGCCTCAGCCTCCCGAGTAGCTGGGAGTACAGACCCCTGCCCCCACACCCAGCTAATTTTTGTATAAAATTACTCATTTGTCTACTTTTTATTATAAAGATTGTAGCAACTCTGCTTAGGACTGGATTTTTCTGCCCAATTAGGGTAAAAAAAGAAAAAAAAAAAAGCAACCACCACCATAACATTACCCAGGAAACCAGCTGTGTTCCGTAGAAGGCCGGCCTATCAGATTCAAGTTGCAAGCTTTATACACAGTAAGTGTCTCATGCACATATCCATGAGGATTCACATAAGCTGCCATCGGCCCACATAAGGATAAACTAAAACAAAGAATCAACATGGAGGACAAGTCAAAATGAGAAGTCTAATTCTATTAAATGCTTAGAATTTTCCTGAAGTTCACCAAGAAATGAGGTATGAGCTATATAGTTTTTAATCTTTCAGTTTTACATAATACCAGGATCTTAGTATTAAAATGGGGTGGGGGTGTAGCTGGCAGACAGGCCTGTTTTGTCTAAATGTCTAAGTGTTTTCTGTGATGACCCAAAGGAAATAGTACTTGTTTTTAAAATCCTCCTCAAGACAGACATTGTAAAGAATATAAAATTCAAGTGCTTCTAAAGGAGTCTGAGAGTATAAGTGCAATAACAAGGTCCTGTGCGGTCATTTTGGGGCAGTTGATTATTTTGCAGAAAGCAGTTTCCTTACCTTCTTGATTTATAACTCTGAAAATCATTTTATGACAAATTCATCAAACACTGTTATATCAGAGCATCAGTGTTCAGAAGCATGTCCTACTTTGGCCCTATATGGCAAAACTGATGACTGAAATGTAATTTCTGAGGCATCTATGTTAGGGCCTAATTGAAGACAATATATTATGTAGATTTCTAAGACAGTCTAATATATAGAATTAGGGGGAAAAGAATTGCTCAGTTGTTTTACTTTACCATGCTCATTACCTGTGAATAATCCCTGACATGTATTGTTGATCTGAGTACTCAATCTGGAAGATGGTCTTACCAAAAGTGAACTAATTCCCTATATTTCATTTGCTGAGTGTTTGTAACTTTTAGGTATTGGAGGAAAGTATATGGAAAACAGAAACACAGTCTTGATTGTAATTCTGATAAGGCAAGTATATTAAAAATGTAATAAAGACCTTACCTGAATATTTCATTTTTGGTTGTTATTTCTGTTTCTTGACATTGTTTACAGCAAAGGGAAGTACACTAAAAAATTTGAGAGAAGAATTGGGAAAAACTGGCATTCATTTTATCATGTAATCACATAGATCAAGAAACTCATAAAGATATTGCCCTCTCTGAATACCACATTTTCCTTCCAAGCATTCAAAAACACTTAAAGATGGAGCAAGAAAATCACTGAAACTGAGATCTGCCACATATTTACATAAAACTAAATGACCTTCTCTAGGGTAAAAGAATAGTGATATATAACCTTGGATATTTCCATGTAGAAATCAAGTATTTTTCACTAAGTTGATAAATGTATTCATATTTGACAAACACAAAACAATTTGAGTTTATCTGTAAGATCCCAATTGAAATCTGAATTGCATGACTACATTACTGGACTTATATATAGCTCCATTGGACCCAACAGAGCATCCTAGTTCTCCAGCCTGAATAAAACATGGTCATCAAAAACATATTCACTTTACTCACTTTATTCATAATGTCTAATTCACAGCGAAGTCGTTGGATAGCACTGCCAATTTTAAGGAGCTGAATTCTCAATACATCATCAATAGGAAGACAAGCAGCTACTCTGTAAGAAAAATCTTCAAGACATGGTTTTTTCAAGTTTTAAACTTAAGAGTCAGACAAGCATCAGACAACTTACAAATCAGATAATGTCCTTTTGAAATAAATCCTTCTCTATAAGGTTACACATTTCATACATGTATAAACAATATGAAAATATACCAGCTGTCAAACACATACTTTTCAGAAGCTCTAAATTTAACTTCTTTTCCTATACTTTTTTTGGTAAAATCCTTTTACGTTAAACGTGAACTCAAATCCATGTTAGAAGTTATTTGCCAAGAGACTAGAAAAATAACTAAACTATACCTTATAAACAGATGAAGAGAGTTTATGTAATTAAGGCAAGTCCTGGAACTAGAGTCACTTGTTTTAAAGGCACCTTAAAGAACACAGAAAGGGGCCGGGCGCGGTGGCTCAAGCCTGTAATCCCAGCACTTTGGGAGGCCGAGATGGGCGGATCACGAGGTCAGGAGATGAGATCGAGACCATGCTGGCTAACACGGTGAAACCCCATCTCTACTAAAAAAAATACAAAAAATTTAACCGGGCGAGGTGGCGGGCGCCAGCTACCACCAAGTAGTCCCAGCTACTCGGGAGGCTGAGGCAGGAGAATGGCGTGAACCCAGGAGGCGGAGCTTGCAGTGAGCTGAGATCCGGCCACTGCACTCCAGCCTGGGCGACAGAGCGAAACTCCGTCTCAAAAAAAAAAAAAAAAGAACACAGAAAGGAATCCTCACACTCAGGAGGTGTTTTTGGATGACAGCCACTTCCTGCAATTTGTCTGAAATTGTCTGAAATTGGAGTGTTCACAGAATATAAGGATTTTATTGCAATTAATTTTGAAATACTCATTTTTTTTTCAACTGCTCAAAGGAAGTTATGCTTTTCAGAATTAAAATGTTTTAATCAGTCTAAAAAAAAAAAACCAAAACTAAAATATATGATTTCATCCATTAGAAAGCTATTTTTTTTACAGCAAGACATCCCAGGCCCCAGGCAGTAAACTAACTTCATACCTATTGGATTTGAAGGAAGAGAATCATCTTTTAGATTTTCATCCCATTCACGTAGCTGTTTCTTGATTCTGTCCATTAAGGTTTCCTTGTTTAAAATAAAGGTATAATCTTGTTTAAAATAAAGGTATAAAGGTATAATAATCAAGTTCATGGACTTATTAAAATCTACTATTAAGCTTTTCAACTCTTAAAACTAACACATTGGCAGCAATTTAAGTAATCACTCAGTCCCATCTCAGTCCCAGTTTAAATGCCTCCATTTTCTTATGCAGCAATGATCAAGCTCCAGCTCCTTTGCCCAGCATTAAGTCTGCCTTCCAGCCTTTTCTCACTCACTGTCTTGTCCCAGCGGTATGTGCTCCCAACTCCCTTGTGGATTGCTCTGTTCTGTGCCCCTGCTTGGAACTGGCCTCTCTTCTGCCTTCTATTAGGCCATTTCTGACTCAGTCCATAGGGATTATGGCACCTATAAATTGCACTAGCACCTGCTATCTACATACCTTACTTGGCACCTATTTACTACATAATTTTCACAAGCATATGCAAAACATATGCAAAAACACTCATATATTGTGTCTTTGTAATTGTTTAAAAGCTGCTAAAAAGCAGAGATCAACTGCAGTTTCCTTTAGTATTGTGCATGCTGCTGAGTTTTCCTAGGACTCCAGATTAGTGGGCAGTGATTCATTAAGGGAAATGGCTAGCATTTATTGAATGCCCGCTATGCACACCAACTACAATAGCTACCACTGTATCCATTTTACAGGTCCTTGGAGAAGTAATTTGCTCCAGGCCCAGAGTAAATGACAGACATCAGACTCTGAAGTCAGTCTCTGATCTGAAATCCAGATTCTTTAAACCATTTCAACACTGTCCCTTACTTAGTTTTGCAAAATGTGGCAATGCCTAGTGTTAAATTTTAAGGAGCAAAACCCCTCATGGATGCATTACTTAATAGACTAATGATCAAGAGATGTAAGTTAATATATTTGTTTAGAGAAAAACCAAAACTGTTATAGATGGATGCTTTCATGTTCTAAATGTAACTATCACCCAACCCAACAAAATTTCACGTGCTTAGTAAAACTCTAAAAAAGTCTTATGATAATTTTTTCTTTGTCTTTGCTCTGTTGTCCAGGCTGGAGTACAGTGACACAATCTCAGCTTACTGCAGCCTTGACCTCCCAGGCTCAATCAATCCTTCCACCTCTGCCTCCCAAGCTGGGACTATAGCCGCATGCCACCACACCGGGCTAATTTTTGTATTTGTAGAGATGGGGTTTCACCATGATGCCCAGGCTGGTCTTGAATGCCTGGCTTCAAACAATCCATCTGCCTTGGCCTTCCAAAGTGCTGGGATTACAGGTGTTAGCCACCACTCTTAGGATATTTTGTTCTTAAGTTATAAGGCACTAGAAACTGGAAAAACTAAACCTTTGTTTTTTAATGACCCTTAGTTATGACATGGCCTACCATATGTAAAGTAAATTTAAGGTAAGTTACTTACAGCATCATATAAGGAATATAGCCAGCGAGGCCATGAAGTTAGATTTGCACAATGAAACTTTCTCTGAAAACAAAACAAAAAAAGGCACTTAAAAACCCCACAGAATAAAGATTCTAATACTGGAAGAGCAACATCTAAATGATTTTGGCCTAGGAAACCATCTAATTTTAAAAAGATAAAAAATTTTGTAGATAATCCCATAATGTGACTATGAAGTGTGAAATCATGCTTCTATATCCTTCAAATATATAGTAGTAACTAGAATCTTAATTCCTATTTAAAAAGGTCAAACATTAAAATTTCAATGCTGAAGACAACTTTGGGAAGATAAATGTGAAGAGTAAACACCATACTTCTATTATGACCATGTTAGTTGCCTTTATACTAGTAATTACTTGTCCAGTATCTGAAGTGAAAACCTCAAAATATAATCCAAACTGTTTTTGTGTAAAAACTTTAAATGAGAACCAGCTGAATCACTATAAGGGCAAACATAAGAAGTAACAGAATCCCAAGAAGGATAAAATATTTATACACTTGAGACTTCATGATGAAGTTCCTCATTTCATAAAACTCAAAGAAAGGGGAAACCGATTATATATGACCTCCAATTGTAACTGAAATTCAAACAGAACCATGCCTAAGTCCATATACAAATGTGAATTGTACTTAATTTCTGTAGAGTTTCAGTATTTGAGGGGGAGACTCAATATTGTTAAGATGTCAGTCCTCAAATTACATATTCATTGCAATACCAGTGAGAATGGAATTTATAAGTTTAAAGTTCGTTTGGAAAAATAACCGCAAAAATAACCACACAATTTTTGAAAGAGAAGCAATGGTCTATAGGACACAAAAATATTACTGAAGGGGTGCACTGCAGCAGTGCTAATAGCAACAAATTGGAAACAACCTAAACATCAATCAAAAATAGAGTGAAATACGTTAGAATATGTTTATACCAAGGAATGCTCTGCAAGTGATCAAAGAACAAGGTATAGCAGAATATAAAGAATTATCACTTTTCTCAAAACAAAACCTACATATGTACAAATCTTTGTAATTTCACTGTAAATAAAATGTTAATTGACATGTGACATGACACATGAAAGTGAGAGAAAAGGAATAAGGTAGATCAAAAGGCACTTTTAACAGACCAGAACAAGAAAAACAAGGTAACATTTAACAAAACAAGTGAAGACCCTACTCCTGCACCTGCAAGATCAAATGACTAGGTATGTTTTCATATGCTGAATACTTACCCTACATATGTTTCATACCTAATCATTTGATCTTGCAAGTGCAGGGGTAAGATCTGCAGGAAACGTGGGAACACAGCACACATAAAAGGGACTTGGGACTGAGCTAATAGCTGGAATTGTGCTACACAACTGTATGATGTGCTACACCACTCACACCCTATACTTACCTACTACCCCAATCCTATTCTAGCTATGTTAGTTTGGTGCAAAAGTAACTGCGGTTTTAATAGAAGACTAGAATCTGAGAGACAATGTTATTCTATTCCATGCTGTTCAAATATGGGAACTTTCATTATCAAAGGGAATGTCTTATTACCAGGGATGTTCAGTCAGAGCTATCTCTCAAGTGGACATACCTGTTTTCAAATATTTTAGGAGTTGCAACATGGAAGAGGACAGACTTGTTCTAAAACACGACCTGCAGCTCAAAACAAAGGATTCCTTAATGAGAAACATTTCTGGCTTAATATAATCCTTATATTTGAGACTATGCAAAGATCAGCCGTCCCCAACCTTTTTGGCACCAGGGACCAGTCTCGTGGAAAACAATTTTTCCAAAGATGGGGTGGAAGATGGTTTTGGAATGATTCAAGTGCATTACATTCATCATTAGATTCTCATAAGAAGCATGCAATCTAGATCCGTCACATGCGCGGTTCACAATAGGGTTTGTGCTCCTGTAAGACTCTGTGCTGCCACTGATAAGAGGTGGAGCTTGGCTTCACTTGCTTGTTCACCACTCACCACCCGCTGTGTGGCCCCGTTCCTAACAGGCCACAGACCAGTGCTGGTCTGTGGGCCAGGATTTGGGGACCCCTGCCAAAGGTGATTTGAGATGGCCTCCTACTGTGTGCTCTGGTAGTGGTTAAAGCCTGAGGAGTCAGACTATGAGACCCTTCGGGTAATCTCCAATAAGTTGTCCTTCACTTTTAAGACTAAATATCTAATGGTAAGATTATTGTCACAGTCCAGTTACAGAATTTAAAAAAATACTACCAAGAGCACATCAAGTAGCTCTGAATCTTCAGGAACAGCAATGGCAACCATTAGTATTGTGCCAAGAACTTCACATTTCTAAGACTAGTCTAAGGTTAGTAGTTTATTATCTCCATTCTAAAGTAAGGGAACAGGCACACAAGGATGCTATAACTTGCCCAAGGTTACAGACTCAGTAAATAGGAAGGAGCTAGGATTTGTATACAGGGAGTCTGAGACTCTAATCATCATTCATTCAACAAATACTGTGAGTGCCTGATAGGGTTTGGCCATGTCCCCACCCAAATCTCATCTTGAATGGTAGTTCCCATGATCCCCATGTGTCGTGGGAGGGATCCGGTGGGAGGTAATTGAATCACGGGGACAGGCACCTCCATGTTTCCCTCATGATACATGTGAGTTCTCACGAGATCTGATGGTTTTATTAAGAGGGTTTTTCCCCTTTTGCTTGGCACTTCTTCCTGCCATCATGTGAAGAAGAACATGTTTGCTTCCCCTTCTGTCATGATGGTAAGTTTTCTAAGGCTTCCCTAGCTATGCTGAACTGTGAGTCAAATAAAACTCTTTTCTTTATAAATTACTGAGTCTTGGGTATGTCTTAGCAGTGTGAGACCAGACTAATACAATGCCTAACACGTGTCAGGCTATTTTTTATACATTTAGGCTATGCCAGTGAATGAAAGAAAAACCAACAAAATTCACTGCCCTGTGGAGCTTGTATTTTAGAGGGAAGAAGCTTACTAACTTATATATTCTTAGAATTACAAAATGACAAAGACCCAACTGAAAGTTTGTTTGGCTGACTGACACACTCCTCATTCAGTTATTAAAATATACTTCACATATCAGAATGGTTACTTTTATAATACAAAAAAAAATGTAAAGTGTACTACAAAAGTGTAATTTCATTTGGCACCCGTGTCAAGAAAAAGAATCTGAAATAATTATAAATTTCAAGTATAAAGAGAATAAAATGTGGCACACTAGCATATTAAGAGCAATGCACTGGATCAGGCATTCACTCTGCCACCATGCCCATATGGGCAAGCTACAGTTTCAGGTAGCTTCTTTTCAGGGTCAGAAGACCTCCAAAATTCTTTATCTGGAGCATCCTGACAGATTCAAATATGCATAATCCATCCTTAATATTTGTGATGTAAGTTAGACACACGGAAGAGACATATACCAGAAAACATTAGCTAGCTTTTACAGAGCAACTGCCAAAATTTAAGACATTTCAACATCCTCAAATTTAAGAGTCCCATTTAGCTTTCTGGCATAATAGGAAAGGCTCCTGTCTTATATCTGGGTAAAATGGATGATAAGTTCTAGCAATTTATAGTTATTCTTTAAATATATCAATACCATGATTGATGTCATAAAATGGTTGTACTTCAAGAAAATTTTAATACTAGCCAAAAAGTTTAGGCACTTAAAAGTGACCAATGACTGATTCTCCAGCAAAGTAGTATTCACTCTGGGAACAGGATTTACTACTGAAAGCAGGCATAAAAGCCCTTAAAATGAATGTTACCTGGAGGTAATCTATCACAGTCCTCCATTTTTAAGCCTCATAACTATGGCTTCAGCTTTGCCTCCCAACAATGTAGAATGTTCACAAAATGTGAAACTCCATTTAAGTGAGTCTTTGAAGTGCAATGAAAATGGAAAGAGTAATGTGAAAAGCTAAACATAAATAGTAAATCACTACCACTGACTTCCTTTATATAGTGACTAAAAGTGGTCACTTACTGTGTTAAATCCTATTATAATCAGCAATGTAAATGACAGAAATAATTTATACAAATAATTAAAAAGTTACCAGTTTTTGTTTCCTTTCATGAACCAAATTCCTACATGGTAATAAGAACTGGAATGGAATGATAAGCTCTTTTTCCTGCTCCTGAGGCTTATACGCTAATGATAGATATACAAGTGCACATACAATATGTATGCCTGGGAAATGACCAGACTTTCTGAGGAAGCACCTGACTATACATAGCCTAAGATTTCAAGACTTTTCTTCTTTATATAAAAATAGTCAATAAATGTTACTGTTCTTACTATTTCTATCCTGGAACAAGGTCAAACAGATTCTCAAGTTCACAAGGACATGTTCATCAATGGTAGTCACTGACAAGCTTGACAAAAGAGCAGTGAGGGGCTTACCAGCCCTATTTTTATTTACACAGATTATAAAGTGCCAACATTTACAACAATATGATGATGGCACACAAGTAGACCAAAAGAGGAGAAAAGTAAAATAAACATGAATTTGGTCTGTGACAACGATGGGATCTCAAATCAATGGGGGAAAATATAGACTATTCAAAAAGTGGTAGTAGGACAACAGGGAGCCATCTGGAAAAAAGTAAAGTGGAATTTATACCAGGATCAACTACACAAGGATCAGAGCTTTCCACGGAAAAGCAATGAAACCACAGTAAGTATACAAGAAAACATGAGACATTCCTTTGCATGGGAACATCATTTTTGGCTATGATTTAGAATATAGAAGCATTAAAAAGTAAACTATATAAGAACAACAAAAATAGTTCTGTATGACAGAGCACACCAAAAACAAAGTTAAAAGATGAAAGACAAACTAGGAAAAATGTTTGGAACTCATTAATTACAGAGACTATAAAGCTTACAAAGAGCTCCAAGAAATCAACAAGCCAGTAGAAAAATGGGCAAATACTTTATAGAAAGGAAACACAAACTGCTCTTACAACAAAATGCTTACCCTTGCTCTCAGAAATTAAAATTGAACCTTCAATGTAATATATTTCACTTATCAGATCA